TAACGGATTCAATGACAGATACACAGTTGAGCAAGAGTCAGTATGCAATAGCAGGCATGGCAAATGTGGAATTTGATGCAAATTTAGAAGTTTGTGCTCACAAGAGGAAAAAATGAGGAAAGGAAAAAAAAGAAACAAAAGCACAAATCAGGGCTAAAGTGGCTGGATTTAAGTGGCACAGTTGTCCATGAAGTACAGTCATGATGAAAGCCAAAATACAAGATGGATATTCCTCTCAGTGCAATGAAAAAGTTGCTCACAGCAAGCAAAAAATCAACAGCAGAATGTTCCTCTTTCATTTATCTGGCACTGACAAATGTGAAATCCCCAAAGACTTCACCAGCATCAAGGTCTTGCTGCAGCTTTTCCCTGTGGATAGACCTGTTGGAAGTGCTGCCTTAATTCATTGACTTACTACCAAATTCTTCAGTGTGGGAGGCAAAAATCCAAGTTGGATGCAACATTGCGTCTCTTGTCTCTGTTAACAAATAAAGAAGGAAAGGGATTCTTGGGTGAATCAGGACAGGGAGAGTTTTAGGTCTTTATAATCCCTGGAAAATATCATGCAGAACTTGAAGCAATGAACTTGAAGCAAGTCTTATCTTTTTACGTCCAGTCTTTGGTTACTGGCTGTGGAAATGTTTTCTGGGTCCTTAGATGGAAAACAGCAACAATGACAACAGAAGTATGGTCCTACATGTTTATTATTACCTGTGCACATCCAGGGTAGGTTGCACCAGCTACTCCGCATCTCCTGCTCATAAGCCCTGCTGAGCTTTGAGCTTGCACACTGCCTTACTGCTCAACACAGGAGGGCAAACAGTATCTGGCTGCTGGACCATTTCACAAAGGTGGCTCTTTATGTGAATGTTTGCCTCTAAAATCACAGCAAAATATCCCCAAACCCACATTTACTGTACCTGGTTCTATTTAACGAAGCTTTTAACCTCCAGACCCCTGGCTTTTCCAGCTGTATTGCTTTTGGCAGGAACACAGTTCTGTTTGTCCTGTAGTGCTTCTGGCAGAAAGCAGATGCCTTCCTTCAAGCAAAAGAAGCTTCCAAGTACAGACAGTGGAAAGCGCATCCCAGCATTGGAAGCAGATACTACAGAATGACTCAGGTGCAGTCTTCTGCCCCAATCTATGTCCTATTTTCCACTTAAATATAAGGGGGGAAAAAAAAAACAACACCTTTTTTAATGCACACTTTAGGTGCAGTGGCTGGGCAGTTAGTCAAGGACAGGCAAGTGTTGCCAAACAGAGGTTTTTCACTAGGTGGAAATACCTTCAGAAATATCTTGATGCTCCTTCAGATCTCCTGAAGATCTGGCCAATCATGCCAAGATTTTATCACTGTTAGAATGTTTTAATGGTTAACGTTTTAACAGTTCTGATGTGATCTTGACACAGTTATGTTTTCAACACAGTTTAAATGATGGGTTTACCTTCAGCACAAACTACACCCTTTCAAAAACAGACCAGCAAGAGCATATGAATGGAGGGCAAAAGAAACATGAGAGAAACAGGTGTGAAAAATACTGGAAAGAAGGGAATAAATGCAAGAAATCTCAGCAGAGCGATACAAAGGAGCACAAGCAGAATGCAGAGAAATACCTCAGATGCTCATGTAAGCAGTAAGATTTCATGCATTTGGCACAGAGGGACAATAGCCCCGCTAACCAGTATAGCTATTGTTCTTTTGTTTTTAAGAAACAGAAAGGGTAAATGTGAAGCGGCTGCTTCCCAGGGAAAAATCATAAAAATAAGTTCTCATCCTGCTGTCTACCAGAACCAGAAGCCTCTTGTAGTTCACCTATTGCTCTTGCACTGTTATTCACCCATGTGTGGTTTTGGCTTAGAGAACAAATGAAATGTATTGATGCCTTGCTCTATCTGAGGAGTGCTGATGGTATTTTTTTATAGCCGAACAAGTTAGTCAGATCAAAAAAAATCCAGTCAATGCAGTAAGCAGAAAAATGCACACAAAAGTGCTATCTGCTGTGTAGTTGAGCACACAAGTGTTCCAGCAGCTAACATTTCAGAATGGAGTATAATATTGGCATATTACCTTTAGTTTTATTTCAGCATTTTTTACAATGACGACAAAAAGCCATCCATAAACAGAGAAAGCCTCAAAATATTTTGTTCCTTCGACAGTGGTGGAGGGACAAGAAAAGGACTTTGATTTAGAGAGATGGAGTGCTCAAGTACGAGGATGACAGCTGAAGAATAAGGACCTACTGTTCAGGGACAGTGAATTGCTTATGCCCTTTTACAAGCTCAGGGAGGGTCGAAGCTGCAAACAAGCTTCAGGAGCTTTGGCACAAATACAGTGGATCCTGTCAGCAAAATGGACCTTCCGCAGCATCTAGGTAGTCTTGTGAACCCTTTAGAGCCATTTGAAGCATAGATGGGCAAAATTGCCCTCTTCAGCCAGGAAGCGGGAAAGCAAACAGCTGTCACTGAGGAAGGCAAGGGGTGTCAGATGCCTGGAGACATGCATCTGGGAATTTCTGCCCAACTAAAATATTTCTGAACACACAAGATGATGGTTCCTACTGTAGGGAGCTAGTGGAAAGGGCTATCTGGGAAACCCACATGGATCCACTGCATGTTTGTTGTTCAGGAAGTTGCCATTCTTCTCAAATAACAGGCTTCATTTGGAAAAGGACAAGCTCTGCAGCATCATAATCATCTGCAGCAACCACAGGACAAACACAGGCAAGGCTCAGTGATTTTTCAACCTCTGCTAGCCAAAGCTGCGGTGGGTTTCACCTTCATGCTCAAATGTGAACATATAAAGAACACAGACCCCAATCCTTTAGTGATACAAAAGGCAAGTTCTCAGCTGAATATACTAGAGTGGCATAATAAATAGAAATGCTTAATAAATAAATAAATATAAATAATGTAAATGCATAATAAATATTCATGCTTGTTTACAACTTAACACAAATTGCCCATAGACTCCATCAGCGGTTCCCATCACTTGGCCTCCCATAAGGGCATTAGCATTCCTGAGATTCTCAGTTCTCTGAAGGGCTTTGGGTGAGCAATCCTCACAGGCATGGCTCATAGCTGCCTTTAGTACCTGTCAGCAAAGGAAAAAAAGGTATTTTTAAGTAGATGATTTAAATTAGTGTTATTTGTGTGTGTAAGGCCTAAACAGTGTTAGTTATTTATATAGCTAAGGCCTAAACAGAGGAGGAACATAATTCAATGTATTTTAATAGCCCGGTTTTGTTTTCTGTGGGTTTCCTTTAAATTTATTATCATTACTTAATATTATTTTGTTTCGAGTTTATTTTGCTTATTTACAGATTGTTTCATTCACAAATCTGTTTTTATCTTTTCTTATTTTTATTCCTTTTCCTATTTGGTTTTCTTTTTTTCTTTTCTTTTTTTTTTGCTTTCCAATCCCGAAGCCAGTTCCACTTTTTAAAATGTTTCAGCATCCCCAGTTCTCTCGTTGAGGGCAAGATACCATGTGTCTTCCCTTGCTAGCACAAGCCCCACCAAAACGAGGGTGGCCACTCACTTGGGCACCAGCTGCAACTTTACTTCCAGCAGCCGCTGGTTGCGAGGGGTTCATTAAAAACCGTAATTGTCGCGGGTTTATTTAGGTTTGGTCTCGCAGCGAGCGGTGCAAAAGGCATCACCTGTAATTTTTGCTAACTTCATCGCGGCAGTTTGAAGGCGAGGAAACCTCTGCCTGCCCCCGGCGAGCAACAAACCTGGGGTTCTCCCTCCCGGGCACGGCTGCCCCGGCAGCGACCGCGACGGCGCGGGAAGAAGCCGGTCGCCAGTAGACTGGTCGTAAGAAAACAATTAATCGAGCGACTTAATGTCTAAAGCTGCATTAATGCCCTGATGCTTTCAAAGAACGGCCCCCGGGGCCCCGCTCCTTCCCCGCTCGCATCTCAAACCGAAAAAGAAGGACGAGCAGGGAGGTAGTGCGTCAAACCCAAAGGAGAGAATGGTGGTGGGTCCCGCTAACGAAAACCGGTATTAAAATATCGCGGGGGGTAGTAGGGGACGGGGGTCGGCCGGGCTGGACGCGGGCGGATGGGGGCAGGTCGGGCGGGAGGAGGGCGAATGTTTCCTGCCTGCCGCCACCGCCCCCTGGTCGCCCCCCGCAGCCGGGCGGAAGTCAGCCCGCGCCGTCGGAGCTTAAAAGGCTCTCGCACGCCGCGCCGCGCCAGTGCCACCGCCCGCTGCGGGGCCGGAGTCAGCGCCGCCGACAACACCGCGCCCCCAATTCCCCCTCCCCCGAGGGCCTCGCCCCCCCTCCCTCTCCCGGCTTTGCACCTCCGCACCCCGCCAGGCAGGGGGAAGGTTCCCAGCGCGATGGCTCTCCCCGGATCCCACGCCGCCCGGGACGGTGCTGCCGCATCAGTGAGTAATTCCTGCTAATTCACCCCCCAGGGCTGGTGGGCTCCGGCTCTGCAGATCGCAGGGGAGGCGGGAGTTTGAGGCTTTTTTTTGGCTGTTTTTATTTTTTCCTTCCCTTCCGCCCTCCCTCTCTTCGGCTTTTATATTATTTTTGTTTTCTCAATAAAACACCACGCGAAGAGGCGAGATGACAAAGGAAATGTGATCCTAGGCGCTGCAGGGGCTCAGAGCGAGCGAGAACTGGAGAGGAGGAGGGGACGAGCGTAGCGCTCTCGGATAGCATTGCACAGCGGCTCCAATTTGTGCGAGCGAATATAATACCTCCTTCCATGAATAATTCAGGGAGGCCGCGGGGACCTGCCGCTGCTCCTCTGTCCGGCCGCTGCGGCGTGTGCGATCCGCGTCGAGGTCTCGGTGCTGACCAGCCGGCCGGGAGAGCCCACCGGGCACTGCTTGTGGCGGGGCTCTGTGTGCTCACCGTTCCCTCCGCCACTGCGGGGAGCCCCTCATAAAGGAAGGCGTGCGGTGGGAGCTCCGAGAAGCGAGGGGGGGATGGGATGGGGTGGGGTGGTGGGGACTTGGTCTCCTTAGCCTGCCCCTCCGAGCCCTTTTCTTCTTCCCATTTCCTCCTTCTCCTCCGTGTCCCGCCAGCGTGAGTCTCCGCCGGTGGGGTGGGCACCAGTGCCGGCCCCCATCCCCACCCCCCAGTCATGCGGTGGTGGAGCAGGCGTCGGCGGGGGAGGACGGGAGCTGGAGAAGTCTGCCTGGCCACTGTGTTTCAGTGCCTCTCTCTCTCCTAGAGCTGCTCTGGATTGCAAAAGTGGAGGGGGGAACTGAAACGAAATTTCCCCTTCCCCCCCGACAAGCGCAGGTTTAAAGGAAAAGAGGAAAAACACCAACGCCCCAAGAAGAAAGAGCGAAACTTGAGTTAAGCCCCTGCTGCCCCCCACCCGCGTCCACCCGGCCAAGAGGAACTTGCACTGCCGCCCCGACTCCGTCCTTCGGCCGTGGGAACCGGAGCCGAGCCCGGGCAGACGAAGGCCCGATCCCTGCTGGATGCGGTGGGGATCGGGCAGTTGGCGCCCATGCATTTTCTGTTCAGGAAGACAAGTAACCGAACAGCGTTGTCAAACTGCTGACCCGAGGTGGAGATGGGAAGACTGAGTGAGGTATTGACAGATCTGGAATCGATACAATTTGTCTAATGCAGCGGGGGATCGGGGGTTAAGTACATGTGAGGGAAGAGAGGATCCATTTGCTGAGAGAGAACGGGACAGCTATACGTTGATACCAAAAATATCCCCCTGCAGCAGCGGGAGCAGCATCAAGCCCAGTAGCGGTACGAGGCGAGGACCCACTTCCCTGCAGACTGCCGGATCGATGACACCGTATTTGCAAAACCGGCCAATCGATCCCACTTGGCAAAACGACTGATCGTTGCTAGCTTGCTCGTAAGCCGCTCGCAGAACTACCTTCTCCAAACGCCCCCTGTCTCCTCTTGTGTTTTCTGAGCACGTTATTGTCTTTTCTGACTTATTTTGGTGAGGGAGGGGAGATAACATTTTCACCCCCCATCGAGGAGTCAGGCCCATCGCAAATGGCCTCATTTCCCGAGTCCGACTTCCAGATCTGCCCCCTGTGCAAGGAGATGTGCGGCTCGCCGGCTCCCCTCTCCTCCAACTCCTCTACCTCCTCGTCCTCCTCGCAGACCTCCGGCTCCTCCGGGGGGGGCGGCAGCGGCTCCTCCTGCGGGGGCCCGCCGCGGAGGCTCCACGTCCTGCCCTGTCTGCACGCCTTCTGCCGCCAATGCTTGGAGGCGCAGCGGCACCCCGGTGCGGGCGACGCGCTCAAGCTGCGCTGCCCCATCTGCGACCAGAAGGTGGTGATCTCGGAGCCCTCGGGTATGGACGCGCTGCCCTCCTCCAACTTCCTCCTGAGCAACCTGCTGGACGTCGTCGTCGTGGCCGCCGCTGTCGACGAGCAGAAGAACGGCCGCGCCGCCGGGGCCGGACCCACCGCAGGCTCCGGCGCGGGAGGGGGAAGCGGCGGCAACAACCGCCACCACGGCCGCCCTCCGCCGCCTCCCCGCGCCGCCGGCTCCTCGCCCGCCGCTGCCTCGGCCGCGCCTTCCTCGACATCGTCGTCGTCCTCGGGCGGCGGCGGCGGCCCGGCGGCGCTCCTGCTGCGGCGGCCCCACAGCCGGCAAGGCGAGCCCCGCTGCAGCTCCTGTGACGAGGGCAACGCGGCCAGCTCCCGCTGCCTCGACTGCCAGGAGCACCTGTGCGATAACTGCGTGCGAGCGCACCAGCGCGTCCGCCTCACCAAAGACCACTTCATCGAACGGTTCGCCGCCGGCCCCGCCGCGCCGATCGCCCTGAGCCCACCCTACCCTGCCTCGCCCTACAACATCCTCTCGGTGTTCCCCGACCGGGCCAGCTACTGCCAGCACCACGACGACGAGGTGAGCGAGTACGCGGGAGGTGCGTGGCCGCGCTCCCGCCCCTGGCCGGCGCCAGAGGGCCCCCGCCTGCACTGCACCCGGCCCCGAGGGGCAGGCAGGTGGCGGGGACCAGTCGCGGCGCTTCGTCCTCCCTCCCCGCGTTGCACGGGGAACGCGGGTGGTTTCGGGATGGGTACGGTAAGGCGACGGCGTCCCGGGAGGAAGAGGTGAGCAGGGAGGTTGCGGGAGGCGGTGACACGAGAGGTGGTCGTGGAAGCCTCGGGCCGCTGGTGGGCGGTGGGGAGCCGCTAACGCGATGTGCGGTGGGGCATCGGACTGCGGGCGCCGCTGTTTTGTGGGAGCTTGTGGGGGGCTTAGCGGGGGTGGCGGGTCCGTGGAGGTGAGATGAGGGGAAGTCTGGAGTCCCCCCAAGCCCCTTGATGTGTCTAATGCAAAGTTAAATCACTTCGTGGAATATTTGTGGCGTGTAACCCATTGAAGACAGAAACCCCTACTAGATACAAAGGAAAATGATTGTATCAAGGACAGGATCCTTTTTTAATTAGTTGGAGGTAGTCGGAAAGTTAACAGATACACTTGTGTATGCCAGCTTCATCTCTTGCCCTTGAGTAACAACACTTTAGCTGCCTCTGTGGTGCAAACGGGAACTTCACTGATGTTAAAAATGGGAACTTGGCTTTACGTGCTCTATATTTAAAGCGCTTTGCTTGCGAGTTGTGTTTCTGATGAGCCTTAATATTTTTTCACGGATCTAAAAGAGGCTGTGGCTTCTTCAAAGTGAACTGGGCTGTATTAAGCTTCATCAGAAGAGAGTTTCTTGCTGTGATGGTCTGAGACTTGGTTTTTATCACCGACTGGAAAATGGCGGTCTGCTGTCCCCCCCTTCTGCTCCCGGTGTCAATGCAGGGGATTTTCCTGGAATTTGCCAGTATCTTCAGTGTTTGAGGTAGTTTCCTCCCAGTATGAAAGTGGGCAGCTTCAGGGGGAAAAAAAACTGCCTGAGGACAGGGTAGTATGTGGGATGCTTCCTTGACTGATAGAGGAAGGCGTTTAGCCTAGTGAAATGTGGTGATGCCTTTGTCTTGGGTTTGCAAGGATGCTTTTATTATCTCCTCTAATGCTGCTGTACTTCTGAAATAATGTTCTAGGAGGCTCTGGAAGAACTTTTATTTTTTCTTAAATTTGCTGGTATTGGAGGACAAAGTATGAATTTTGGGAAAACAAAACCTTCAAAGTGTGTAAAATTAAGCAATAGAGGGCTTTTGGCCATAGCAGATAGTATCTTCCAAAGCAGATGTATTCACCACCACTTAGTGAAGATGTAGCTGGGACAGAAGCTCCAAGGTATTTTGTAGACTTAAAATCTTAAATTGTAAAACAAAAAAAGGTCTTCTAGCCTTGCTTAAACTGTACAACTTTTCTAGAAGTAACTGCTAAAAAAGCTTGTTAGCTTATTTTTCATAACTAATTTTATTTTCATTAGTGTGTTTTGAAAAGTGTAAAAGAGTACATGTCTCTTATGATTGATTTTGGGTGCCCTTATGTCCTGTAGACCTAGAAATCGTTTTAAAAGTAGTGAGCATTTTCAAGCCTTTGGCTCCTGTTGAGAAAGGTTTTTATTCTGCAAATTAATGATCTACTAGTGTTCTTAATTAGTGTGAGTTTTGGTGGTTCCTTAAATGTGGGTGTGCCTGATCTGTACTTAGTATCCACTCAAGTGAAGACTTTTGGGAGAGACTGACTGTTTGGAACAGTTTATACTGTTAATCTTTCTCACTTTTGCTGGGAAAAACATAAAGTGGGTGAGGTGTACTTTTTTTTTTGTTTGCTTGTTTTTGAGAAAGGATGGTTGCAAAACTGTGAGGGTTATTGCTTGTTTAATTCTAAGAATGCTATTTACAGCCTCATAAAAGGAATGATAATAGAAAGGCAGCCTTCCAAGAGGGTACTTAAGTGATGCATTAAGTACTTTGTTTGGCTGTCTAATAGTGTGAAAACAAACCTAAAATGCAAGGTGGGAATGCTAGATCGGAACCTTAATTTAGTAGTATTAAACAGTGATTTAACACTAGTTAAATTTAACAGTGGTTAAAAGCAGTGGTTCTGCTCAGTAAGTGAGAAGAGCTGCTGCCAGGCTATGGTCATGCAGGTAGGTTTGAGTGCAGGTGGATCTCATCTGTAAGCTGCTAGAATAGTCCTCTTGGGTGTGGAGTTCTCCTTCCCCAGGATGTAGCACCACAGTTCCTCACCACTGCAAGAAAGGATTTTAAAGTTCTTTCTCCCCTTACCCACATTGTTCCTTTCTTTTGCTCACATCAGTTTTGGCTTTGGTCACCTTCTCTATTGAGCAGATGAATTAACAAGCCCAGAAGTTTCTTGCCAGATAAGCAAGTTGAAATGGCTCATGGTGGGATATCAGTGTATGTGAACATGACTGACTAAAATTAGACTGTTGCCCTGAATTCCGTAGTCGTATATGTTCCTGAAAACTTAGTGTCTTTTTAGACTACCAAAAAAATTACACTTCTCCTTATTGTCTTCCAGATTGCAAAAGATGCAACTTTTGAAGGCTTGTGTATATATAGGGGAAAGCATCCAAACATTTAACTGTCTCCTGAACTGAAAGCTACTTATCTGGTATCTTGGCTGAATTTGCTGATTGAATTTATACCTTTTTCTAGCATTGGATTAAATTTATTTGAATTCCAGAGGAATCTGCCCCAAACTGAACTGCTGGGAGGTAAAAGGAGGGATAATGTGGCTAGGAAGGAAGTGTAGGTTAGAAATGGTTCCTTTTATGTAATGGCTTGCCATCATTGCCAGACACTAAGCTTTACTTCATGGTGCTCTTAAAGCGCACATCTCACCAGAACAGTTGGGTATGCTTGTGTATCCCCAGTTCTGTGTCTTTTGCTCAAGGACTACTTATGTAAAACTTTGGTATGTGACAAATATACTGCAGGCTCTTGCTGTTCCTTTTTCTAATGGTCGGGGGTTTTCTACCTCCTATCAAATGATTGAAACTTTGAGGAGGGCATCTTGGAGGCACTGGTCTTACCATGTAGTACTTTGTGTTGCTGCTGTTGTGGTTGCTATAGCTTCAACTTTAGAGGAAAATGTGCATATGAGCTAGAGAAATTCATACTTCCAGTATATGTAAGCAACTGTATTTATTTCCTTATGCTGATGTGCCCTTCACTTATTGTACTTCTTTTGTCTTTTTTTCTTCTGGTATCAAACGCACATGCAGGTGCCCAATCTGAATGCAATACTTCAAATTCAGTTACTGACACTTGGGTCTTCAATTTTTTCTGGGTGAAGGCAGCAAGTTATTTTGTTCATATGTGGTTTATGTAATGTGGATGTAACATACTCAGAATGAAGGGGTTTAGTAATTTCACACGTTTTTACTTATAATGTTCATATACCTGGTGCTAAACAGGTTGCCTATTAGGTTACTCCGCCTTGTCTTTTAGCTGCTCCTTCCGAGCACACCTGTAGCTCCTGTATCTTCTCTGTATGTAGAACAATTTTATTTAACTGCTGCTTTATTTATTTAACTGATATTCTTATGTTACTGGCCTATTAAACGTAGCTTGAGATAGTTTTCAGTGAGTAAAAATTGGAAGAAACAAAAATGCTTTTGTCTGTTCAGGCAAGTTTCATGGAGTGCTCTTACTTTGAGAACATCTTTGAAAAAACAGTTACCAATACAGTAGAAACTTGCAGGCCACAACATAGACCTAAGGTTATAATAACCCTTGAAAAAATAGGAGTGGGGATAAGTATACAATAAACAGGTTCTCAGTGTACAGTAACTAGTTTCATGCCTAATTTTCTTTAACTTCAGTTTTGCTAAAACTGATGTCTCTTAAGTGTATTTCCTAACTTGTAGACAGGGCCTGATTGAATTTGCACTTCAAGGGATGAAATCTTGCATCATGCGTAGTGAGTTTCTCTTTTCAGCTGAATCTTCAGAGCATGTAGACATGCTTGCTAGACCATGCTTCCTTAGAGGAAAACTATTTAGTTCCTCTGGTTTAAAGTTAAGAAGGTATTACTCCTCTTTCAATACTGTCTTGCCCCTTTTTCTTCTTAGTTCTCTTCCTATACTCCCTTCCTTCCTGCAGAGTTCTTGGTGTCTTTCCATCAGACAAAGAATCACGATGTGTTGAAAGCACAGATCTTAAGATGTATGAACAATGTACCAAATGCAAGACTAATGTTACCACAGGTTTCACGGAAGGGGTTTATTTTCTTTAGGGTTAATCCACTTTCAACAGAGCAGCTACAAATACAACCTTGAATCATAATTATGTAGTACATAATTTTAGTAATGATTTTGACCTGTCATTAAGACTTAATTAAAGTGTAGAAATACTGGATGGGAACAGGACTACTGTTTGGCAGTGCAAGTATTGGTTAATGTAATGATTGGAAGTCCCTGATCCCAAGATAGATAAGGCATATGTCCTTGTTTTAGGTGTTCTCATCATGGCCTCAGCTGCAGTTCCTTCCATGGGTTGTTTTCGGCTTTTTTGAAAGTCACAGGAATAGAATAAAAACATGTTAGAGAATTGGAGCAATAATACCTGCTGTTTTCTAACTCAAAAAGTTCAAAAGTTTCTTCACTACGTAATATCACTTTGAACAACTTTCTCTTCTTTCCCCCTTACCTTTCCCACCTTAAAGAGAAAGTGTAGGTAGCTAGTAAAAGAGTAATATTAACTTCCTAAAGTTCTTCTGACTCTAAGCTACCTGGTTCTTCACCAACCCTCAACAAAATAATGAGATTCTCAACTATGGAGTCCATAGCTAATCTTACTTAGGAACTGAAACTGATGACGAGCTCTGAATACTAAACAGCTCTAGCTGTTTAGTGTGACAGGGAAGAAAACTCAGTACCCACAGATGAGGCTCACTGTGTGTTCTCCGTTGTCCTACTGTGCTGCCTCTTGGATATGTATGCTATACTGGCACTTAAGTGTCAATTTATAGTT